CTCTGGTGCAGCCAGGGCTCTAGGCAGGGCAGGGAATCCTAAACACCCTGCCTTGTACCAGGGAGCCATGTGGTGAGCCCAGGGAAGGCAAATTCTGCATCCACAACAGGGAAACACCTTGCTCTTGGGCTTCTTGGCTCCACATTTGAGCCAGGTAGAGGCCAAAGACAGAGCTGGTGCTTATGCCCTCAATCCTGTTTGTCCTAGTTTTCCAACAGAACAGGATCCAAACGGTGGAAGTGCATAAGTCTAAGGAGAAGCTTTGTTAGCACTTGCATGACTTAATCTGCTTCTTGAAATCCCAGTCACCTGTTCCTCCCTTGCAGACAGATTTATTGCCTACACCTGAACACACTCCCATGGAAGTTGCCTGAAAGACCTTTCTTATTCATTCTATACCTGACTTACTCCAAGTTTCAGCCTGTCCTGACTATTCCCACCTCCTCTTTCAGAACAAAGTGCAGAGTGGAACGAAGTGTCTGCACAGCTGCTATTTGCAGCTTAAGTCACAAAACAGGTGCACAGTGGGAGGATCTCTACTGCCTCGGTGGCAGAGGGGCCGCGTTGCTGCACACTCACACCTCCCACTCTACAGGCTCCCTCTGTGGGGTGGGCTCACTCCTGTAAATCCATCACGGATTTGGACATGGCACTGGATAAAGCACATCTCCCCCCAGAGACATATATGGTCCAAAGGCAAAGGAGAAACGAGGCTTCTCCTCTAAGTAGGGCAGTCCTGAGATGCTCAGGTTTAAGCCATTAGCACAAGCCCTCCTGGCCCTCATTTGGTGACACATTCTCCCTGCTGAACTTTCTCAATGACACTCAATCTAAACTGAGTCTGGGCCTGCGGGTTTGCTGCAGGCTGCATTCTTCTCCCGGTGCCTCGGGGGGACACGAGTGTGTCTGGAAGGGAGAAAGATGCCAAGGCGATTATTTCGCCCTTGTTAATGCCCCAGCATGGTTCTGCATCCATCTGGGCCTGCTGCAGCGGTCCCAGTGCTTTGCTATCAGACACCATGATGCTTGCAGAGCTCCACTGTGGCCACCAGATGTTGCGGTGTACCCACAGGTGGGCCAAACCCAGCCAGAGCTGCGGGCCACTGAAGTCAGGGGAATGGAAGGGTTTCCCAGACATGGTTCCATATCCATCGGGGCTCCCCGCAGTGATCCCAGGGAATGCTTTGCTACCAGATGTCCGATGTTTGCCAAGCTCAAGTGTGGCCACCACATGACATGGTGTACCTACAGATGGACCAACCCAGCCAGAATCACAGGCTCACAGGACTGGGAGGGTTGGAAGGGACTTCTGGAGATCATGTGGTCCAAACCCTCTGCCAAGGCAGGGTCACCTCGAGCAGGTGACACAGGAATGAGTCCAGGTGTGTTTTGAATTTCTTCAGAGACCCTTTGCTCCCAGAGGTCCTGACACTTGCAGTTCTCCACTGTGGCCACCAGATGTCACGGTGTACCCACAAATGAACCAAACCAGCCAGAATCACAGTCACAGACGCACAGAATGGCAGCTCGAGTGCGGCCACCAGATGTCAAGGTGTACCCACGGATGGACCAAACCCAGCCAGAGCTACAGGCCAGAACACAAGCACTGTGGCTGCTGAGGTTACAAGCAGGGAAAGGTTTCCAAGGCATGGCTCTGCATCCATCTGGGCCTGCCACAGTGATCCTGGGGAATGCTTTGCTACCAGACATCCCAGCACTCGCTGAGCTCGAGTGTAGCCACCAGATGTCATGGCCAGCCAGAGCTGCAGCTTTGAAATCCAAGCGCTGCAGATGCAGAGGTTACATGAATGGAATGGTTTCCACACTAACTAGACGGTTGCTTTTGGTTTTCAACAGAGCTGTTGGCAAACAGCTATAATACAATTTACTCTCCTGCTGCCTAAGTTTGGTAATCCTCAACCTGAAATAGTTCCAGTAACTGGCTCAGTGTCAGGACACAAGTTTATTTGAAACAAGGGAAAAACACTTTCTGAGGTGGCTAGAGAAGGGAGCAGCAGGTAGGATGCCTGGTGAGGAGCAAAGGGCTTCTCTGGCCTGTCACAGCCACGAGTGAGTACAGGAATATGGGGGCTGCCAGGGGTCTGAATTACTGCAGCTGCTGCTGGGAGGAGGCAGTTGGTTTTGGCCCAGAGCAGCAAGCAAAGCCAGCAGGTATGGCATTCCAAGGTGACAGCAGCAAGATGCAGGTTAGTTCTCCCCTGCTCCCTCCTGCAGAGCTGCCCCGGAGGCTGCACAAGGGCTGGGGTTGCTGCAGCAGAGGTGAGGACAGAGCGGGTTCTAACACAGTATTTGTGAGGGCAACTGCTTCTTTATCACTAGAAATGGATGAGGCTGTGTCAGCCCGCCCAGATGTACAGGCATATGCCAAAGCTGGAGTGGAAACATGCCAGGCTCACTCATCGCTCCAGGAAATCCGCTTGGATAAGAACAAACTTTCTCTGTTGTTTTTTTTTTAAATCTCTCAGACACCTACACTCAACTTGTCATCAGCTGTCTGGAGCCAATGTTATCTTGCACGCTATGTGCTTCACTGGGAAGGAAGGGGATGATGGTTAGGCAACCTATACAAGGCTTCTACTCTGAGCAGCTCAGCTGCAGGTACCCCATCACTCGCTCCTTTTGCTGGCAGACCCCAGGCATAGCTGACCCCCTCTGGACACAGTCCCACGTGTGGGAAACAGTCCACAGCAGTGTCTGCACTGGGTGCAGCTGTGCCAGATGCCCCTTCCCCAAGGCTGAGCACTAGCTGTGCTCTCTGAGGCACTTACATCATCCCTGTACTCCCTGACCTGGCCGTCTAGAGTCGAGTGCCCCTGCTCTGCGCACAGGGCGTGCGAGGGCCTGAGCCGGGCCTGGTGCTCGGGGTGAAGTGCTCTGATGTCACAACTGTGGGACTCGAGACCACTTCCCGGCAGCTTCATGGACACTTGAGTCACTCTGCCCTTTGCTCTAGAAACCTCCTGTTTGACCTCAACAGAAAAGACCAAGCAAGAAATTTCCCCCCATTTCTGCTCATACCCCTGCAATGCAGCGTTTACAATGGGGTGGTATGCAGAAATGTTCTTCAGGCTTCACCTCTGGTTTAAATGTTCCTGGTGACACTCCCAGCTCCTCATCAGAGGTTTGTGCAGACTTCTGATTGTGCAGATAACTGTTATTCCTTCTTCCCAGTTGCTTCATGGTATGTAACAGGACATTAGTCAAAACACTTGTTCCTTAGGTAACATGCTTTTTGACCTGTCTACAAATATCTGTTACCTGCAGATTTTCTGCTGTATTTCCCTGAAGAATGTCCCAACTGAAATGTCAGGATAACAGGATGGATGATGTAGCCCATCTTTTCATCTCTGAGATGACAGGACTGACAGCAGCTAAAAGTCAATGTGAGACCAGGATCTGCACAGAGGATCTTTGCTTTTTCCCAAAGCCCCTCCTTACGTCCAGTCCCCCCTGCCAGTAGTGGAAAGCAGTGCTGCTTTCCTTGGAGGATGCTACCAAAGATGTGCTCCCAGTGCCTGCTGTGCCTGGCATCCAGCAGTGTGTGTGAGCTGGCTGAGGCCCGGGGGCTGCCTCAACTGTCTGCTCCCCTCTGGTGCCCTGACCCAGACCTGCCAGAGGCCAAAATGCTGCCTGGGAGGAAGGAGCCCATGCTCAGCTTCTCCCTGCATCTCTGGCTGTGGTTTTCCAGGCAGATTTCCAGGTGTGTGTGTATGTCTTGCATCCAGGCCTCCAAAGAAACCCCCAAGTCTCAGATTCCCCAGGAAAGAAAGAGAGGAAGGGAAATCCCCCTTTGAAATGGCTTCTCTGTCAAGAGGTGTCAAAGAAAGAGACCAAGGGGGCAGTGCATGGCTCTGCACAGCCTCTTGGCAAACGAACAGAGAGAACTTGGAAACTGTGCTTCCGTGTTGCTCCCTTTCTTTCCGTTTGTTTTCCATTTCTACACTATCAAGGTAATTTTTGGCAAAACAAAACCGAGCAAACCCTCTGGCTCACAGCAGGCAGAAGAAGGCACAGACTCAGCTGCCAGGATGGATTGTGCCAGTTGCAGAAGTCAGGCCTCACTCCCCCAGTTGAAAAATTAAAAACGAATGAAACATGCAGCAGGTGTTAATGGAAGGCACGAACCAGCTGGCAAACCACAAGCCTTGGAAAAGGTACAAACCAAATGCAGACAGGAAATCCCCCACCCAGCCAGGACCTGGAAGTTGTCTGTACCTGAAGGAGAAGTAAGTGGGGGTGGTTTACTTTAGGTTGATTATTTGCAGATGACTGAGTGTGAGTGACGTTTGTTCCCTTAGTTCTACAGTAGTATTATCAAACGAGTGAAAAACCAGCCCTTGCTAATTCCTGTGACCCCTTTCTTCTGAATGGTAGCTTCTCTCCCCTCTAAAGACCTGGTCCTGACCTCCTTGAGTCACTGGCACTTAATCATGATGCAGGTGTCAAAGGAGCACTCCTGCCAGACAGTCTCTACACAGCTGGGTCCCAGTTGCAGGGCATGCAGGCCTGGCTGAGGGATGAGGAAAGGGAATTATATCCATGAGCTGCAAGGAAGGCTAAATTTCTTGGTGGAACTGGACTGCAGTGTTTCAAGGATTGCTGCTTACATAAAGTGTGTTGGGTCCCACCTTTAATATTCCCTTATGGAGATCCAAAAACTGAAAAGATTACAGGGCAACAGTCAGAGGTGGGGATTTCACAGATAAGGCAAAACGGTCTCAAACATGGCCAATACTCACAAAGAGGAAGCTGGCTGGGACAACACTCCCATACTTTTCTCTCTGGAAGCTTGTTCACCTGGCCTGAATCTTTGCTAGAGTTATACACCTTTTTTGAAACCCACTCAGCCACCAATGTGAGCAGCCCATTTTTCATTTCCCCATTCCCACCCCTCCCCTGCCCCGCATGCCCTCCTTAGTTCACACTGGCTCCAGATAACTCTACGTGTATTTATCTTGCAGAAACAATCCATCACTTACGTTTTCTGCTTTATTGACCTTCTCCCATGTGGCACCTGGCTCCACTGCAGCTCCTTGTGGTACGTGACCTACCCTGCTATGGCTCCAGCTCCGCAGCAGCGCCCGCAGCCACGGCTCAGGCCCTGCAACACAACGGGGAAGGACCGTCCCCACAAGGGCCAGTTACTCCTTTGGTTGGGAAATGGGAATTCATTTGAACTGTCTGCTGGCAAAGATGGACTGGGCTGGGTGAATTTTGGAGTTCTCTGTCTAGTGGTACAGATGGGACACAAAACTGATCGGAGACACTAAGCATACACATTTCCACATGGATTTTTTTGGCAGAGAAACCACTTGTTATAAATAGAGGGAAAAGAATAACTCAAGGCCTCTGAGAGGTTGTGGCAGTGACGAGCTCTGTTCCTAAAAGAGGTATGAGCTTGTTATCTAATTTTTAGTGTACCAAGGGAGCATATTTACATTGCAAAGTGTTCCTGAATTAGTAAGTATTTTTAAAGCTTTCCAAATAAACTTCAAAGCAGGAGCACTTCCTTTTGGTAGGGAAGGGCTGGCTATGAGTGGGAGCTCTGAATGTCACCTGCTAACCACTTCCTTCCTGCCATCAGAACTCTCCCCACGGGTGGGCTTCTCCTGCCTTTTTCTTTTCCTACCAGAAGAGCCTTGTGAAATACAAGAAGGCTCCAGAGGGGGCTCAGAGTGGGCTGCTGTTCATCACCTCTCTCCCAGTCAGTATTACTCGTTTCAGAGGCAGGACTACTACAAGAGGCAGAGGGCTTGGCTCCTTGGCAGCCTGTGGAAGCTGTGGAGCAGCCATCAGATGCAAGGAAAGGCAGGCATTAGCGCAAGTTGCTCAGGGGCTCCCAGCCTGCTGTCCCCATACCCACCACACTTCCCAGGGCAGGGTCAGACTGCAGGGTTTAACTGGACACCCAGTGTCATTACAGAAACACGTGTCTTTTGGAAACATGACTGACCCTTTGGAACTGACACACCACGAAGGTGAATTCAAGAAAAGCAACCACACATGGCAAATACTTGGGCAATTTCCTCTTGGCACATAATTGCTTGTTTTGTGACCTAAAAACCAGTATTCTTTACAGTCCTTCACAGGGGACAGGTGACCTAAACTATTTATAGCTGCTTTGATCCCTTCTGCAGTGGAGGTGGTGATACATTGATCAACCAGACGTGACATAATTCCTGATGCTGCCATCCCCAGCGATGCCTCGTGTGACCTACTCCTCGCTGTTGCCGTGGGCACACGTTATCAGCCTCATCTATTGCAGACATGGAAGAGGTCCCTCCCTAGCAGAGGGCGCTTGGGAAATGCAGGATACCAGGCATGCTACATTGTGTCATTGGCCCTTGATGAGGGGTGAGGGAAGTCCATCTCGGCAGTACTTTTCCACTTGCTTTCCTCCCCAGGAGCTGGTAGTGGGGCTGTTGCGACACAGGAGCTTCACATGTCACACGGAGGAGCTCCAGTGAGGCTGATCCTTGCAGAGCCAGAGTTTACATGTGGCCTGGAATCCCTCAGAAGTTCGGCGGTGCTAATGCAGAGGGAGTTATTCTCAGGGATGAGAGATCTCAGGTGTTCCTTCCTTCCACAAAGCACCTGCAATTCAATTGCAATGACCCCAGATAATACATATTCAATGGTTTGTGTTAATAGTCACCGGAAATGTCTGAAAAACTGGAGGGTTGAAGTACGTGGAGCCTCTTTTTAATCAGCAGTGACTTTGTAGCTTTTTCCGTGGTTGGATAGGAGCAAAAGTCCAGAGCTGGCAATTTCCCATGGAATGGGAATCCTAAAGAACACAAACCTGCTGTTTTGATAATGCAACTGCTTTGCTGCCATAACATTTGTGTGTTTCCTTTTGACAATGGTGACAATACTTTTATGTCAAAAGGCAGTGATGACACATTGCATTTAAGATAGTCATAAACACAACTGGAAAAGCAAATTGTAACACAAAGAAACCCATGGAAAACACAGGTATTCTTTGGAGGTAGGATAAGGGAAGGGGAGCAGTCCCCATGGAAAAGAAACCTGAAGGAAAGAAAGAGGGACAATACCCTGCAGAGGAGCATGACTGGGAAGCCAAGAGGCTGCCTGAGGAGCAGAGGCACCATGCCTGGGCACCACTGGTGCTCAGGTCCAAGGAGGCTGAGGATGTCTGGAGGCCTGGGACAAGCTGCTTTCTGGACCGTGACCTACTGGAATGAGCTAGTCAGATTTTGATCCAAGGCAAAAGAAACCTGGAAAAGGCTCCTCCTCTTAGAGATTGTATTACCACTGCAACAACGAGAATTAACCTGGCACTTCCTCCATGGATCTTCAGCTTATGAAATCTTGGCCTTTTCAAAGTCTTTATTCCCATTTGAGCCTCTACCACAGTTTTATTATAAAGAACTTACAGTTACATATACAGGGAAATCCCCCCGTATCCTGCCTAAGAAATCATGTGACACATAAGCAAAAGAACCTCCAAGCAGAGCATCAGAAACAAACTTCGCTAAGTGGCCTGTTCCTCAAAAATTCCACTTCCCATAAACATTTTCTTCTCTCATTTCCTGTGTTCTACTTGTTACGTTGTTTAAGTCAAACCACTGTGTGGCAATTGCTCAGATACAGAAGGTGACTGTAAGTGCCCCAGGAGCAAGTGCAACTGCATGGATGAGAAGGACCATGGAAACCACTGATATGGCAAAGTGCAAACTGATAAAACAATATAAAGTCCTCTCCTTTCCTGACTGGCAACAGCCTCCTCAGTTAAACTAGCCTTTAACATGGGTGAGAGACTTGCTTTAAGAAGGGTTTCTTTAAAGACCAGAGGGCACAGGTTTGGCCTAACGTGGCTGTCCATGACTCAGGGCCTCTGACGTCATTCTGCTCTTGGCAGGAAAAGAGAGAAAGGGCAGTGAGTTCAGATAGGACCAAGGCAGCTTCTAACTTAAAATGTGAGGTGTGCCACCCACCAAACCTGAGTAAGGCAGAGGCATACAGATGCCCCTGGAGTAACGTCTGCAAGCACAATCGGGGGGACAGCATCTCTAGAGTAACTCCTCTCTCTCCTGTCCCCGGGATGTTAGGGGCTTCTTCTGTTGTCATCCTTGCTTCCAGTGGTTTCCCTTCTCCCTTTTTCATGAAGCAGCATTTTCCCCCCCACATCAACACATCCTCTGAAGCCTGCAGGCAGCATCAAAGAAACCCAGGGCAAGCTGTGGCCTGTCCCCAGGAATGCCATCCTCAGACAGAGGAGCAGCGGGAGGCACACGGGGCTGACCTCGCTGGAGGAGGCAGGGAGCTGCACAAGATGAAATGCACCTGTTTTATTGAAGGTGTGTTTACATGGAGGATCAGATCCTGCCTTACTCTGCTAAAACCGTACAGTGGAGTGGCTTTTCTGGAACAGCTCCTGAATGGGCTTGTCCAAACAGCAGCAGGGGAACATCAAAAGGCGCAGCGATCAGCCGCAGATAAGCACCCAACTGTCTGATCCTGAGTGCCCCCGGGCACGGCTCAGCAGCTTGTCTGCCCGCCATGAGCTCTCTGTATGGCCCTCCCCTGTACCAGAGCCTCTTTCAGCAGTGACTGCTCCACACCTGTGGCAGAGGAGAACTGACTGCCAGTCACAAAGCTCTGATCTCCAGAGAATAGTTACTTACTGGTCAGATAACTCTCGGTGGGAAGCCCTTTGGACAAAGAAAGGAATGGGAACACAAGCTTGGGTCAGTGCTCAAGCAAGCAAGTCCCTGCTGCAGTGACCCAGCCACAGTGGGAAGTGTGTTTGCATCAACCATGGCTCAGTAATTATAGCAACAGATGACTCGAGATCAAAGTGTGCTTCTGAATGATGTGGCGAAGTAAATTGATGGAAATCTGAGCTTTTTTATCTCTGGATCTGTCTTTAATGCTGACTTCTGTCCGGCTTTAACCTGCCCTGGGAAAGCATCTCAGCTGGCAGTGCGGAAGCACTGGCCCGGGCACACCCCGCGGGCCACCCGGCTCCCCCGGGGCTCCTGCCCCATGCCCGGTGTGCCTGGGGCCAGCAGGGTGCCCGTGGGGCCAGCAGGGTGCCCGTGGGGCCAGCAGACACTGGGCTCTGGGGCTGAGCACGGGGTTCTGTCACTGCAGAAGGGCACGTTTGCTGTCACAGGGAGTCAACAGAGCCAGGTGCCCGGGAGCCTTGTGCTGACATGCCAAGGTGCTGCTGGTGGTTGCTGCTTCCAGGTGCTGCCCCTCCCATTATGAACACCCCAGGAGGCATCTGCTCCTCCACTGGATGCAGCCCAAGTGCTCCAGTGGTAGGTTCTGACCCAACTGCTGCCAGCCTTGCCCACCCATAAGGCTAGAGCCCAAAGAGGGTTGGACAGGACGGCCCCTTCCTTCAGGGTGACACAGCCCACAGAAACCATGGCTGGGCAGCACATGGGAAGGATACCATTTGCACAGCCCTGTGAATAAATCTCATGATCACCCTTCACCTAGGTTGGATCTGTCTCCTTTCTGTCACGTATGCTCCCATCAGCTTCTATCCTGTGTTTATCCTGAATTTTGGAAAGAGTTAATTACCTTGCTAGGATGCTGAGCTCCAGCCACTGCCCACACCGGGTGTTCTCTTGGTGCCAACCATCAGTAAGTGCTCCACTGGGATTGTGTCATCTCTGCTCTGGTTCTCCAACAGGGCTTAGCAGAAGTGAGGCAGGGAGAGGTTTTCTAAATGTGAGACACAAAGAAAGAAGTTATTTCACACGCTGGTCTCTCCTGTGGTTGCACACTGGCTCCAGACACCTTTCCTGCACAGTTCCTGGTGTTTGAGTCAAAAGTGGCAGAGTGTGGAGAGAAGGCCAGGGTGGCTATGGGTTAGGTGGAGAGAACAACTCCTGGCTTACAAAGTGTTCCCCAGGTGTCTCTGAGACAGTCTTGATCTCTGTTGGTGATCTCTGCTGCTTTAATTTGCTGGTTTAATTCCACAGGCAGTGCCTCCTGCACAGTCACCATGCGGCCCATGTTGGGTAAAGTTTAGAGTTGCCCCCTGGGACTGGGCACTGATGCCACCTATGCGTGAGATTTCCCAAATCACATCAATCATGGGGGTTTTTCCTTGCTTATGCTGAGATTCTGTGCTGCTCCTACATGATTATTTCTCAATAGAGCAGAGAGGCTTAATTATTGGGTTGCAGAGTTCCCAAGGGTCTTATGAAAGTTGAACTGGAAGAGCGAAGTACCATGACATACTGGGACTCCTTAAACAGTGATAAGTTGTTACCCAAAAATTTGCTGTGATCCAGGGGAAGTCTGTCCCCTAAACCAGCTGCCCAACGTGCATGTGTTTTGGTTGTTATCATCAAAGTCTACAAGATGAACAGGCAATTCATTATCATTTAGGGTAGTGCTTTGAATGTTATCATTTGAGCTTCTTAGAAGGTTAATTTTCTGTCCCTGGGATCACATCTTCCTGATGAGGAACAGTTAGAGTATCCTGTGGTGAAACATTGGATTATTATTAATGAAACCTGTGTTTCCCTGGAGTTTTAATTGACTCAAGTGTTTAAACACAAGCCTGACTTAAAACATGTGGGCACTCTCATTCCTGCCACAGGAGCTACCAATGCTTTTCATACAATGCCGAGAAATGTTAACTATTAAACCCAGGTTTGATTATTTATTAACCTTAGTTCCTCACATGTCGTACCCCAAACCCCTCATCAGAAAGTGCTGAGCACTTAATGTGCCCTTGCAACTAAGCAGGGGTTTAACTACATCTTTCTTTCCCTTAAGTTTTGCAGGAAGAAATGTCTGGATTCTGTCAGTGCAACAGCTATCCACCTTTCCAATTCTCCTTTCCCACTGCAAGCTCTTGGATGGAGACCAAAAGCTTCCAGGCCCAGCCCCTGTGTGCTGCCTGTGTGTACGACCAAGATACAGCTGCCTCTCAGTTCTGCATGGAGACTCCCAGCTATTCCCACAGGACTGGCTGAATTTCCCAGGCCATGTGCTGGAGCAGATGCGAGCTGCTTGCACAGAAAGGAGCGGAGCTGGCTGGATTTGGATCTTCACAGGAGCAGGCCCACAGGGAGCAAAGGCACTGGTTGCTGCCAGTGGCTGTCAACGAGGAGCACTTCATGCAATTCCCATCTGCTGCTCCGCTAAATGTCATGGTCCAGGAATGCAGCTACTGCTCAGGCAGTTGCCAGCTGGCCACAGCAACTGCAGGTGTGTATCTTTTTATTTGTTTATATATGTAAATCGAGTCCAAAGTCTCAAACGATTAAGTCATGCGATGCAAGGCATGTGACAGTGGTTAATAGTGAAGGGCAGACAAGGGTGACAGGAGGAAAGCATTTCAAAGTGGCAGCTGTGAGGTAAATCATACCGGAATTGGGTAACCTGGATTTAGGGGAGAGGTTGGAAAGGAAGGGCGTAGCACTGGGAGAGGAGCTCTTTCTTTTTTTTTCTCTGTGGAGGGCCCTGATACTCAGGCTTGGGCCCTGATTTTTGTTCTACATCTGGTACTGCAGTGCTGATGTGCACCCACCAGCCTCATCAGAGAGGGGCCTGACCGACACCTAGAGAAGCTACAAGGTACTGGGGCTGGCTGCAGGTTTTGGGATATGCTCTTGGTACTAGAGGCGGCTCTCTCTCTTCCCTCTCCTTCTTCCAATTCCTCTCCCTCTCCCTCCCTCTCTCCTTTTCCTGGGCTCTCTGTGGCACATGAGACAGGGTAGAGAGATGAATGAAATGGGCTGATGGATGGAAGGAACTCTGCTGGACTCACGCTGGATCACACGGGATGTGGAAGATGCCCAGTTGAATGGCAACTGGATCTGACCCTGTAATTACCACTGCCACCACGTGTCTGAGCTGCAGCTGAGTGCACAAACAAAGCACTTGCCCATGCACTGACTGTTCTTCACATTAAGTGTTCCTGGGTCCTGGTCTTTTAGAAAAAAATATAAAACTTGGTCTGATCCTCCTGGAGCTGAGTAGGGACCTCTGTACGGACTTCAGGAGAGCTGTACCCTGACACACAACCAGCCCCGTGGCAGACATCAAATGATGTTGTTCCCCAGCAGTCTGCTGATGTTATCACCCTGTCTTTGAGGAGTGAGAACAACAAGATCCTACAATGACAAACCACAGTGTTTGTTGTGGTACCAGACAGGTAAAAAAAAAAAAAAAGAAACCTTCCCAAATAATTACCAAAAAAGAGTACATTTCATGTCTCATGTCCTTTGTGTTTTTCACGGACCAAGTACCTTACAGACAATTCGCTCATGATCTGCCATACAAAGGGGACAAGGGACCATCATGGAACACAGACATAAACCAACTGGAGAGGAGAACACCACGATTACAGGGGAATCATTATCTTACACATAAAACTCTAAATCAGTGCCACATTTCAGGCTCACAATTCCAGGGAACAAGGAAAAGCTTATTTTACATTAAGTTTCTGCTGGTGGCTGCTTTCACCCAGAGACTAAATGTTGTTTAAAGCACTGCCACATAGAAAGCTCTGCAACAGCCAGAAGTTGTTTCACCTTCACCCCCTGTTGGCTTGATAGGAATGAAGGATTTGCATTTTTCCTACAAGTATTTTTCTTCTAGGTATAAGGCTACTACAAAACCAGCACAACGAATTAGGTTTGAGTCTCTGATAAGCAGGAGTGTCAAATATTACAGGCTGTTGGGGCTTTGGGTTTTGTTTGTTTGTTTTTCTTCAAATTTATCAAATTCTCTGAGGTTCTGAGTCTATAATAAACCAGCCAGGTGGATGTGAAACTTGTCAGAGACCAAACTTGTGCCTAAAAGCAGTCAAAGGGAGAGTCAGAGCTGTGCATGCACCCAGCAGGATGAACCCTGCTATGGCCCTTCAGCCACTCCAGATCTAGAAAGATGCCAAGAGGGTTGAGCAATGTGCCCTTAGACTTCTCTGCCCTGTCATCACGAGGCCACATGATTTCACTCAATTACCAGGTCCCAATAGGCGCGTGGTACTTTGGACTGACTGGCCGTTGGCTTTTCCAGAGTTGCTAGAGAGGGGAAAGTATTTTTCCATCCATGCTATTTGTTTGTTATTCCACTGTGAACTCCCCCAACTCCCTGGTGTCAAAACACCTGGCAGCGCTGCTTGTTTGTCCTGTTACTCCGAGTGCCGTGGCGGGTGGGAATTTGGCTGGCCCTGGGAAAGGAGCCACATCAAACACCTGGGCTCAGAGTCCCATGGGGATTGTGCTGCCTGGTTACTTGGGAAGATGATCCTCCAAGAAGATGTCGCTGCACTGATGGGGATGATGGGAAGGATCTCTACAAATGCTACAGGGTTAGTGTGAGGAGCACAGTGACTCTAGATAACACCACCAGTGCAGGTGACACCCCAGTACCTCCAGTACTGGCCACACTTGGCTTTGGAGAAGTGAGCTGTAAGTCTGAAGGAAGAACCATACAGCAGGGAAGTGCTACATCCCTATGTGCATCCCCAGGTCTGGGTGCCCTGTTCTTATGGTATCAGAAGGCCCACAAACTCAACCAGGTCAGCTACAGCCCCTGCTACTGTACAGCCTCACACAGAGCAACTCTACCAGCACCTGCAAATCCAGTTCTGTCCCTGGAAAAACGTGAGTGGAGCAGTGCTATAGACCATACTTCAGGGTGGAGACTCTTCTCCCCAAACCAGCTGCAATTGTTTGTTGTGTAATGGTGCCAATGAAGTTTTGTAACTCCCTCACATACTGGGAGGATTCACTTGATCATAAGAGCAATTTCACTTTCTGGCATCCACCATCCATCAGAAATTCCAGGCCAGAACTTTAAAGAGCAACCAATGACTTAGGATCTTATGACTGCTAAACGTTTCGATTGAGGTACCTCAGCAGGCAGGTACAGTCCTCCTCCCAAAACCTCCTCCTCAGAACAGGCATCAAAACTGTGGCTCACTCCAAAAGCCCCACCTAGGCTAACAGTTGTCCCAGACAAATCACAGAAGCTCCTTCTGAACCAAAATGTCAGCTCCAACTCCCAGATGAAGATTCCTGCGCAGGATTTCGGGGAGCACACGCACCCTTCCCTCAGTTCTGGGAAGTTTTAGGTGCAGCAGAGCCACAGGCACGTGGGGCACAGCTTAGGAACACTCGAGGCCACCTGTGGCCACAAGCCCTGGCAGTGCTGACAGGCTTAAGGCGACACCAAAACACGACCACCCTCAGCCTCCTGTCAGGCTTTGAAACGCTTGCAACCAGCTGGTGACTTGTGAGGGGAGACATGGGCAGAGGGCAGGATTGAACACAGAGGGTCTGATGGAAGTTGGTTCTGTTTTGGACATGATTTGGACATGATTAGGCTTTCTTTATGAGATCCTTCAGATAGTTCCTGCAGGGCAAATATAGCTAAGTAGTTTCATGACCTTTCCATACAGTAAGACTGACCCTATTTGAGAAGTCTGAATCCAGTGAAGCTTGGTAACTCCCTCTTACAGCTAAAGGTGTTCAGTTAAGATCTGAAAAAAGCATCTTACCTCCCCTGAACCCATCTTGAACCCTGCCCTACACCAGTCCCTAGCAAAATGGTACCTGCATCCGTTCCACCCAGGCATACAATCAAAGGGTGACTCACTGTCACAATTCCTATTCATGCATTTATTGCCCAGATAACTCTCCATTAAGCTAATGAGTCATTCTTTTACACCCACCAAATGCATAGTTCGGCTGCTGCTGCTTTCTGCTATTCATAAATTAGAAGGAGAACAGCCTTGATCCAGAAAATTTATCTCTACTGGTGAGCTCCATATTCCAAATTTAAGGAACTCAAGGTTTTCTGTGTGTGTTACAGGGAACAAGCAAGGCCCCAGTACCTCCTGCAGACCGAAGAGCCAATATTGCTTGGTGAAGTGCCTCACACCAGTCTGCTTCCAGAGCCAGAAGATGTTGGCCAGGGCTCTGCAGGCCTTGGATGCCCAGGACTCGTGGGCCACGTTGCAGCAGCTTCACTGAGATGAGCAGGCAGCTTCATTCCAGCCATCACTAAATTTCAAGCAGGGCAGGAGACAAAATGCTTGGCACAGCGTTAAGTGCTATTTTGTGATTTCAGTGCATGCAATGAACCGAGAAATAAGTTGGCAAATAAGAAAGTGTCTGTAATACACATTTTTGTGAGAATAATGCAGTTTCTATGTAGTGTCAAGATGAGGAAGGCCCAATCATTTATTTTTTACATGCCTCATATGGTCTATAACATAAAGCTGTAGCCGAATGCTCTTTTGACCACTTTTAGCTGTGCTTTGCAGCTGAGATGAGCTGCTTGAGCCTTGTAAATAAAACAGAGAGAAAGGTGACTACTGGCTTTGTCTCTGGTTTGTGCTGCCGGCCCAGGCCAGGAGTGTCAAAGCAGCCCTTGGTCTCACACTGTCCTTCCCCCTGCCAGACAGTGGTGCCCTCAGACAGTGCACTGACAGCTGCATACGTCAGCAGCCAACCGGTTCAGCTTCCTAAGGCTTAGCAAACTGTTTGCATAAGCACTGGGATCAGAGCAAGAATGAAGGAAGGATGGGCTTGAGCTTTAGAAAGGCTTTTTCCTACAGGTTTCTTATCTTCTCTCCTCCGTCTGTCCCCTCGCTGCCTTTTTAAAGGACTTGCTCCCCAGGAAGGAGCTCATGATGCCAGGTTTCCTCTGGACTGATGTCTAGAGCTGGAGCCTGTGGGCTCTCTGAGCTGAGCTTGCACTGCTCTGGCAGTTCCATTGAACATGGTTCCCTTTCGGGACAGCTCAGGTTTGAATCCCAGGAGACTGCTCCTGCAGGGAGCAAACCAGTCCGTACACACACACAGTGAAGCAGCTCCCTTGGCTCCCCTCTGCCTCTGAAAGTCTGGGCTCCCCACTGGACTGCCAGAGCTTTGGAAAATATTCTGTGTTTCTTTTTCTAAACATCTTTTTTTCCCATCTGTTCAAAAGGGCAAGGATGTAACATTGACCAATACTCAGAAATGTACTCTCCTGCTTTCAGAGGCAGTTATTGGAATGTGCTTGGTATTCAGATGATAACTTACATCTGCAGCAACTTGCTGAGTGATGCTTTGAATCACACCGTGATAAAGGGATGTGTTTGAAGTTTCTGAAGGCAATACCTCACTATCATTCCCTTTCAGTGCTGGCACTCAGAGCTCTTCAGCCTTGCCTCTGTCAGCAGGTAGTCAGACCAAATTAAACTTCCCATCCGAGTAAACCTAAACCCCATTTGGGTTTATTTGATTATTGAATAAAACCAGGCAACTGGAAAAAACAAGGAAAACAATCTTTTTCCTGAACATGTTCACTTAATACAATCAGCAACAGTGTGTTTTCCCCCAGTGAGTGTGACCTGAAGGGCAAGACCCTTCCAGCCCTCCCCCAGAGCCCAGCTTTGCACAGGCCATGTCATGGGATTTTTGGGGTGTTGGCTACCCTTGTTTCGAGGCCATCTCCTCCAGAAACGGGCTTTAATTGCTCCTGCCATGAAGCCTGAGAGAGGAGTGCTAACACACCCACTGGCTGCGAGCAGGCCTGTGACTGCACATCAAAGCTGATCCCACCTCACAGCAGCAGCCATGAGCACATTCCAGGGAAACGAGAGCCCTGCAAAAGGTAGGATGGGGAACCCTGTATCCTCGCAGTGCTCCCCACCCACCGCCGACTTCCATTAATTAATTAACTCTGCAGCTTTGTTCCCTTATCAAAATCCTCCCAGCAACAGCACCATAAATTGTATTTGCAACAGATGCTTAAACGAGATGATCTCAGGTCTTTGCAACTTGACTCAAGGGTGGGAAACTCACAGCTTTGTGGTGATCTCCAATTCATTCATTATACAATCAGATCTTAATTGCTTTAAGAATGTGATTCTAGTAAATCTGGCCTCTAGTACCACTCCTGTTAAAGACTTCTGTTGCTAAATCTCTGCTGCTAAACACAGTCAGTCCATTTCTTGGGGTCTCTTCTCCTTCAGTGGACTCTGAAGTATTGAATTATCTGCAGAAATTCACAGAGTGTTCACCCAGCCCATATTTACCCACGAATAGGCACTGAACCTATTGAGCTGTTCTGAGAAGCAGAAGCTTTCAACAGCCCCCATGCTATGAACAGGTGACACAGAGTGACATCCTTGGGGTGGTTTTGAAGATGATTCTTCCTTCAAAGGAAAGACTGCACAGAGCAAACCCATCCCAAAGTCCTGCTATCCGAACGAAACGTGTCTAAATACAAACGTAGTGCAAGAGATTGATGCTGCTCGAGAAAACTTCAGCTCCAAGGGTCCCTGACTGAGATCCTCCCCTCCAGCACTGCCTCAAGCTGTGCCTGCCTGCCAAAGGCATGCTCAGCTGTCACCAGAGCCAGCTCTGGGGACTCAGTAGGTGGCAGCCTTCACCTTGCCTTTGCAGGGATCTGTCACCCTGTGGAAGTGCTGGGGGGTTGCTGGGCACAGAGGACACTGACCTCCCAGACAACACGTGGTGGGCTGGCCCAGGAGGTACTGCCACCATCTCTGACTCCAGTGTGCTCCAAAGGAGCAATTAAAAAGGTACTTTGGAAGAGGTTTGGATCAGTGGAATCACTGCTTATTCATAGGGTTGGCAGGAAGAGGGAGCAGTATAGATTTTCCCTATTTTTGGGGGAGAAATTTAGTACAGGGATGAAAATGCAGCCCATGAGAGCCATGTTTTGGGACTGGGACAATTTGAGCACTAACCAGAACCTAGCAGAGCTTTATGGGGCATATAACTCTCATGCCCACAA